TAAGGTCGATATGGCAGTGTGAGACTCATTCCTCTATTGCTTTGGGTATTTAAGCAAAACTCCTTTAAAATGCCTTTAAGACTGTGCATTACTTGGTCTCTTCTAGGCCTTCTAGCTTTAATTAGGAACCAGAGGCTTCACTAGCTCTGCCAGACACAACCCTTCTTTCCTTTTCTGTCTTATATTGAGCCACCTACACTCTATGTTCCTTTTAAGTTCAAAGACAGCCATGCAAACTGTTTATACATCATGAATTTTCTCATTCCCTTTTCCCCTAGAATACTCTTGCTTCACATCCCAGTTGAAGTGTTCTCTTCTAGAAAAAGTCTCCTTTGAGGTCCCTATGTAAAAAAATCTGTTTGCATATATTTCCATGGTGGCATATTTATTTACAAAAAGTATCAAGTTGGGAAGTGATTGTGGTTACTGGATTAATGTTTGTCTTTCCCACCAAACTTTGAGAAGAAACCATATATAATTTTATGAATAGTATTCCCACTACTAAATGGCACATGGTAGATGCTCAACAAGTATTTTAATGAAGAATAAATGATTTCATTTTAACCAGGAATTAAATACCAATTAATGTTATAAACCAATAAGCTACTTAACAAATGGTAGGTAAAATTCGTTCCAGTTGAATGTGTTCCAAAAATTGTGCAAACTTTTACAATTTTATACAGAGTACGGATTCCCTAAAATAAATAGCACGATGGATGTAGTGTGATAAGTATGATCAGAAATGATGAATCTTTATGTAGGAGCCAAGTTTATGTTCAAAAAACGGCAAAAGACTTAAGGTCGAATCTTTCTTCTCTATATTAAAACTTTGCAACCCTTACAAAGACCACCAAAAATAAATGAAATGTGGGAGGAAAAGAAGCAACAATGAGTTATGTAGCTGCTGACTAGAATCAGCTATGAGCAATTGATAGACTTTAGTCATCTTAGCACATGTGATGCTGAAGATGCACTGTGAGCTATATTGAATCTCTCTACTGAAGATAGTAACATGGAAAAATTAAGAAGAGAACCATCTTATAACAAACAATATAGCAATTGGGGAGGAATGAGCATCTGACCCTGTTCATTGCCTTTGCTCTTCCTTCTTTATTTTTGGACAACTGATTGATCCCCAAAGCAGGATTTCTGTATCTGCCAGCATTTGCTGTATAAAAAATAACCAAAAAAGGATATGAAAACACACACACACACACACACACACACATATCTCAGATTCACAGGTATTCAGGTTGACTAGAGTTGATGATCTCCACATATTTTATCCCTAGTCAAAAGATCAAAAGATGGAGGAGTAACTGTGTGGTTGTGTTAGTATATGCCCCCAAATTCCTTTACACGCTTTCTTTTAAAAGGGTGAGTTTCATTCCTTACCACTAAGTGTGGACTGGAGTTAGTGACTCATCCCCTACAAATAGAATAAGGTAGATATGGCAGTGTGAGACTCGGTTGCAAAAGCTATAGAGCCTCCTGCTTCCTCTCTTGTGCAATGCACACTTGGAGAAAACTAGGCATCATTCTGTAAGGACACTGAAGAAAGTCTATGGCTGGGCTCATGTGATGAGCTATTGAGGCCTCCTTTAATAGCCATACACACAAGATGTCTTGCAAATGCATCCTCCTGTCCTCCTCAAGCCCAGGTGACCACACACAAGGCCTACATCTTTACTGCATCCTCATGGAATGTGCAGATCCAGAAGCTCCCAGATTCAGAAATGCTTCCCAAATCTCTCACCTACAGACTGTACGATAGCAAATTTTTATTGTCTTATTTTACCTTTGTAGTAGTTAATTATACAGTAATAGATATGAATACTACCAGATACTTACCTTCATGTTAAAAGTTAAGAGGGCAAGGGAACCAAAATCTGTAGTGCAAGTACATTTCTAGTTTGTTCCAGTACAGTCTGCTAACATCCACTACCAAAAGTGTACCTTTTGGTCAAACCCAACATCAACGGTCAGATGAACATCTGTGTCTCTAGTATGCTAATAGCCACCCAAAAATATTGAATTCTGATCCCTGAAAATTTATAAGATAAAGGAATCTACAAATTGAAGTCAAGAATTTTGACACAGGGAGATTAACCTGCATGATCCACTGCTCTCACAATTGTCTTTATAGAGTCATAGGGAGATTCTAATTCTAGACACATACAAAGAGGGTACTGTGAATATAGAGACAGAGATTAACTGTGTGATCATTAAGGCAAGGGACTCCAAAGCATGTTGTCAGCCGTCTGAATATAGAAGAGACACACAAAAGTGGATCCTCCCCAGAGCCTTCAACTGACAACCTGATTCTGGATTTCTGACCTACAGAATTATGAGTAAATTTTTACTGTTTTGAGCCACCAAATTTTTGGTCATTTATTACAGCAGCCCTGGGAAACTAATACATTCTCCCATGAAATGGGTACAGATGTCGAATACTAGCTGAACAGTATTCTGCTTTAGCATCTCTTCAGAAAACAAAAAATAAAGCACTCTGATGCTACCAAAATAAATAAAAGAATACACAAATATATAAGCAAGCAAAAGGAAAAGGAAGAATATACATCAAAAGATTAATTATCCATGAAAGCAGGGGAAAAACAGCTAACATTTTTCTCAGTACTCTTTAAGAAACAAAGTAAAAACATTAAAAAAAAATACAATGTCAGAGAAGATATTAGATTTGATTTCAGGGGAAATAAATGAACATTAAAACATAGACCAGAAATGAATGCACCATTAAAACATGCATGTGTAATACATGGTAAAGAAAACCACACAAAATGAAAAAAAAAATTCTTTAGTGATAAATACATAAAAGAAGAAGTGATATAGATATACTTTACAATAGAAGAAACTTAAATATGTAATAGAAAAAATTTCAAAGATAAAACTGCTGAATTCAAAGATCTAAGTCTACAAACTGAAAAGATACTATGTATTTTAGAAATAACGTGGCATCATAGTTGATACTGGAAAATAATGCAGCTTACGGTCAATGTAATCTTGGCCTTTCTCTTTGATTTTCCATATTCACAACAAATTTGAAGTAATCTTTACATATATTAAGATATGTATAAGAAACTTATTGTGGTACTGGTCAAATAATTCTACTTTTTGTTAAATCAAGAGATGAGGACCTATGATTCTGTTCTACAGTTATACAGTCTTACTCTGAAGTGCTCTCTGATAGGACTTGAATTAAAAACAGTTTTAGAAAGCATTTGTAATTGGCACCCATGCAAACCTATGTTAAATATATTCATAAATTTTGCTAAAGTCAAATTATTAATAATAATTGTGACCTTTATATAAGTCCATATTTTAAGGTTCTAGTAACACCCTTACATCTCTATCAAACATTTGGCCAACAAATCAACTGGTATAACATTACCTTTCTGAAGATCTGCCAAAAACAAGTTTTATTAGTTACATGGAACATTGGCCTAAGCACTAATGTTTTTCAAATATCCACACAATGTGTCATGCAATTTGTTAAAATGTGCCAAGAAATTATCACAATTTATATGGCACATTTATATGGCATATTTGGTGAATTTGGAAAATATCATAACTAATGTCTATATGTTGGTCTACTTTCTTTCTTGAAGCATGCCATGGCAAAAATTAAATGTTCGATGTTTAACCAAAGAAAAATTTATATATGATTTATTATCCTTCTTGGAATTTAATGAAAATCAATAGGAAAATAGCTTGACAGGAAAATATTAATTCTTCACTACCTTTCCGGGAATGTGCATAATGGCAACTTGAAGACAGTTAAAGAAAAATATACCTTTTGTACTTGAGATCTTTGCAATATGTTTGTATTTGACAGAAATAAATCTTCTATTTTCAAAAGTATATTTTTCTAAAGAAGTGATGTAAATGTGCCCGAGAGATGCAGAATCACCCTTTTTATCAAATGGCACAAGAAACCAGGACTGTATTTTCCAGAATTTTGTAGAAAACTCTGCACATTGGGCTTTAGTATGTGTTGAATGGGTAAATAAAAACATTGTGTATTCAGACATGATATCCTGTGGGTAAAACAGATAGTGTATACATTTTAAAGTCAGGACAAACACAGAGACCATTATGCTTTCTATACATGAAAAGAGTGATGGACACTTTTCTGAGGGGCAGATGAAGATCAGAATCCTACAACTAAATCCTGTCCTTGTTGTACCTTTATCCTCTTTCTTTGATGATGTCATGTAGTCTAAGACTGCATGAAGTCCTTCTAGAAGCTCTGTTTGCATGGAATTGCTAGTTTGCTGGACAGAGCTAGTCCAATCTTGTGCATAAGAGAATCTGAAATCTTGTTCTTTCAAGTATGTCATCTAAATCCTTGATTCAGATAATCCTGACTTCTTAATCTGCATTTCTTAGAAATGAAAAGTGAGCAAGTGCCAGTGTTTTTCCACTCTACGTTTATAACAAACACACACATATTCAATCTCACTATTTCTCAGCAAAATTCTATATCAACAATACCAAATTATCTTGTTAAAAATGCTGTAGAATGGATTTCAACTTTAACTCTGGTGTCAAGAAGTTTTTCTCTTCATTCTAATGTAAATTCCCTTCCCTGTTTGATCAATATCAAGCTATTGAATGGGATGTGACCTCTTAAATTCATCAAATTTTTTTTATTTCAAATTTTACAGTATTTTTTCTACATAGTGTGACCTCTAAAATAGGTTGTTTATTTCCCTAAATGAGCCAAATTCTGTTAGTGAATTCTGGAATTAAACTATTGAATGTAAGAAGTGCTTTAAATATGTGAGAGGATTGCATAAATACTTGTTTATCCTTTAGCTATAGAAAACTACTGTTCATACCTAGTAAGTTAAACCAGGCAAAAATTATTCTCCTTAAAAATAACATATAAATACCAGGTATTATATATAAGATGGATATTTTTATAATTACTAAATATTAGAAAAGTCCTCAGTTTAACCATATTATTTTATTTATTACAGGAAAAAATGATAGAAGTTGATAGCGACTGTGTAAACAATGAATCTAACTTTTTTAAAAGACATTCATGTGGTGATTCAAAGGTAATGATAATTATTTAGAGTTTGTCGTTCTTGATTTTATAGAAGCTCCAATTTTGTGTGCCCCTGTTAGACAATTATATTAATAGCATGTTCTTTTGGTTCTATCCACACAAGTCCATTATTCAATTAAATTATATTATGCTTTTTATGCTATTATTTTACAAGTAGCCCTGGGCTTAATAGATAATAATTTTTTATATACCATCCTATTTTTCACCTTCAAAATATTAAAACTATTGAATTCACATATCTCTTTTTTCTAAATTTCTTATTTGGGAAAAGACTTTTTAAAGTGTTTGCTTGCTTGCAAATAGACAAACATAAGTCATGGATATAACTTAGGTGTAGACATTTCGAAAATTTTTTTCCTTCAATATTTGCTTAACTTTAAATCAATACCACCTCTACTTGGTGTAATATTACAATGTACAAAATCTCTAAAAGTTTGTATCGTTTCTTGCTACAGACTCTCTTGTACTATTTGTTAATTTTTTTTTTAACTCACAGTATCTAAACTAATCTCATGGCATCTCATATTATACCCATAAATTCTTTATTTTTTAATTTCTTTAAATATCTACAAAAATGTGTTTCACATGACTATGGACCTTTTTATTTATTAGCAGCTAGCTATTCATACATAGCTCAAAGGTTAGAAAGTAGGATCAGTAAGAAAAAAACACACATACCTTTTTCATCATTACTGCTTCCAGAAGCCTTCTCATTTAGTTATTCTGTTTAAAACTGAGTAATCTTATAATGCGTTCACCTATAAATGATAAGGTCACATATAACAGAGTAAAGAGACTTTAAGAGTCAGATAATCATTAAACCAAGTTCTGGGCATTTTATGCTGTCACCTAGGAGCTAAACAGTTTCAGTCCTGTACTTGTCAGTCACGTGATTAACAGGAAGAGAAAGCTGGGGTGGAGGTGGGGTATTACTTAATAATTTGCTCTGACTTTAGGCTCCTTAAGAATGCTGCAGTTTCTAATATTTTATTTGAACCACAGCCCTTGTAACTTTTTCCTATAATAGGAAGCTGCTTTTCTAAATCGTGCTACTCGCAAGTTGAACCAATTTCTTAAAATGAATATGAGTGAGGATTTCAAACTCCACTTATCAAGAATTTCAGAAGGCACATTAAAATTGTTGAGCTGCCCCAGCAAGGTAAGCTGAGAGTGTTTAGTCTGAACAAAAATATAAATTACTTCTGTGCTTGGATACTATTATTCTCTCACCATCCCATTCAATATCATAGAATTGAAAGTGCTTATGGCTACCTAATATTGAGATATATTTACTTCATTCTGGGAGCAAGTCTCCACTTGGAAAGTGCCTATTGATTTGTTGCAAGGGAACTAATAGTTTGTGAAAGGGGACTAAAAAAGAATACTTCATTGCCATAATTACTTGCAAGGAGATTAGGATGATAAATTGCATGGGGCATGATCAATTTTTATCTCCCAAACTTAATAACTTTAATCCAGATATGTCCAAAATAATATGAGTCCTAGTCAGTAAAACAGCAACTAACATGTGTTTGACAGATATGTGTTAAAATTGGGGGTATATAGGCCTGTCAATTTTTTCTTTAATTTTTGGCATTAAAAATTGTGATGCAAGCTAAGGATAATTTCCCTTTACTTTTCCACTTAGAATTAGGGACTAAGAACAACCAACAGAGTCTGGAAGACACTTCTAGGCAACAATTTCCTCATCTGCAAAATGGAAAAATAATAGTATCCACATTGTAGGATGTTGGAACTATTAAATAGCATTAATTCATGTTAAGTGCTTAGTACTAAAAAGCATTCAAAATGTAATATAATATTCATTACTGCCATTATTATTTCCTTCTTTAGGAATTTTACTAGCTGACATAAAAAGTCAAGGTTTCTTAAATTTCTTAATGTTTTTTTTAAAAACATTTGATGACATAAAAAAACAATTTTGTTTGTTTGTTTGTTTGTTTGAGTACCAGAAGTTTCCCATAGAAAGTAAAATGGTAAGATTACCTCTGAACCCTATTGGCACTGGTGGAAATAGAGATTATATAACTTGGACAGTTTTGTTTATTATTGCTTTATCTACTTGATAGAAGGTAGTGTCCTCTTGTGTCCCAGATTTGACAAGTTTATTTCCAATTTTCTGTGCTTGCTTATGCTGTTTTTTAAAAGCCACCTTTGTAAATAAGTAACAATTAAATGTTTGTTTTATATATATATATATATATATATATATATATATATATATATATATATATTATAATACCCATATTATACCTTTTTAAGGATAGATTAAAAATATGTATCATACTTATATATACTTATATATTTCTCTATTTTTATATCTATAAATATATTAGGTATTATTATAGAAAATTATATAGCAGTATAGAAAATATTTCTGAATTTAAAAGGCAGAATACTTAATTAAATCTGATTAAACTTTAAAAATTTAGGGCTGAAGTTGTAAGCTCAGTGGTAGAGTGCTTGCCTAGCATGTGTGAGAAAGGAGGTTTGATTCTCAGCACTACACATAAATAATTAAAAATAAAGGTCCATCCACAACTAAAAAAAAAAAAAGCCAACTTTTAAAAGATGTATTGACTAGAGTGGGACAAAGAAAAATCAGCATACTAGTTCATGAGAGTGAAAGGTTCTTTCACATTTCCCTTGTTATTATGTTGTTTGACAAATATATACATGGGAACATGGAAATTCCATACAATTCTTAGAGAATCAGAGTGAATCTGCATACCCTGTGAGTTAGGAAACACTTAGGCATTCAACCAGAAGTAGAAAATGTTAGACAAACGAAATGAATACATGAGCTAGAGGTAATACAAAAGTACTGAGTTTTTAAGAGAATTTGGAAAGTTTAGAAAGGTGATATGTTCTCAGGAATGGAGAGGTAAAATCAAACTTTCTTGTTTCTGCCCTTTTTTCATACCTATGTATACTTGTCCCTTAGTATTGATGATGAATTGGTTTCAGTACCTTCCCTTACTTATCAAATCTGTGGATGCTCAAGTCCCTTAATAAAATGACACAGCATTTGTTATAACCTATGAATGTCTTGCAGTATACTTTAGATCATCTGCAGGTTACTTATAATGCCTAATACAATGTAAATACTTGTTATACTATATTGTTTGGGGAATAATGACAGGGAAAAAATGTCTATATGTGTCCAGTACAGGTGCATTCTTTTCCCATATATTTTTATTTTGAAACAGATGGAATCTGAGAATGTGAAACCTGTGGATATGGAAAGCAACTGTATTTTTACTACTCAATTATATCCTCTTACTTAAGTAAACTTCAACTTGTACTTTCAAAACATGTCCTAGAACCTTACTAAAAAGAGTATGAAAAATTTTCCCTCCTGTTTATCCTCAAAATCTGTTGCTAATCTTTGAAACAATTAATGGCATGTGCTGGTGTTACTAACTATATAATTAAAAGAGATCTGAATTTGTGACTAAACTAAAAATAGTACAGATGAACTTAAGATTTAGCCATTATAGTTACTTGACATGTGACCTTGGTGCTTATGTATACTCTTTGTGGCTCAATTTTCTCATCTGGGAAATATGGTAAAATTAGAAAGTTCATAGGATTATTAAGCAGATAAAGTAATATATGTAAAGGACTGAGTACAATATCTGGCCTAGAAAATATGCAACAACTAGTTATTATCTAAATGAAAAATTAACCTACCATGTTGGAGGGCTCAGAGGAATGAGTCCACACAGAACTGCTCCCTTGTGTCTGCTTCATGTAAGGTATTTCTTTCTCCATTTTTCTCTGCATTGTACAGGTAGCCCTTTTATAAGGGTATCAGCAGGTAATAAAACCTACCTTTGAGGCAGACATCTGCCATTCTCTAATGATGGCCAGATTTTTGGAGTAGACTATAGGACATAAGTTCAACAGGCATATTCTTATTGATCGTCTTTGCCAAAATAATCTAAATAGTTTTAGTGTTATGTATTTCTTCTACTAAAAATACATTTTTTTCTACATTAAAAATTCAATTGACTAGTCTAAAAATTTTTAATGAAAGTTTAAACAGTATTATTTTGTTCAGTATTGCAATTGTGAAAATGATAACTGAATCTGAAAGCACAACAACCTTGAATTTCCTACATTTACTATCACAATTATGGATATGATTGTAGTTTTTAAAATATCAGGCAAGATTCTCCTTTTACATTACACCAAATTTTCAGTATGACCTAATACGATGGAAATTAAAGATTGAATATTTTAAAGCATATACTTTTACAAAAATATAAAATTAAACTTTTCATTTATTTCTCTAGGAAGAAAAAAATTTAAAGGAACAGAAAAAGAATGACCCATGTTTTCTAAAGACATTACTACAAAAGATAAAAACTTGTTGGAATAAAATTTTGATGGGCAATAAAGAACACTGAAAAGTATGGAGTGGCAATATAGAAACATAAAAATATTTCAAGAATGGATCTGCTAATGCAATTTTTCAGGATAGAAAGCCTCCTAGAAGTTACTGAATGCATTCTGATAAGAATGATCGAAAGGATTGAGAAATCCATATTGTAGTACCAGAAGATGTACATAAACAATGGAAGCTGAATGCTGCAATCAACAAACTGTTTCATATGTATGTGGACATATGTCATTTGATACTGAGAGTGTACTGATTTTGTAAGACAATCGTGTAAGGTATTGGCTGCAATAATACTTTCTAAACCTGTATGAATATTTCAGGAGAAAACATCAAATCTATGAAGTATATAAAGTTTATAAAGATTCAAAATTGAAATCGTTTTGTTATCAAAGCAATTCTATGACCCACTGTGCATATGTGTACTGTATTATGAGTGGAAATTGTCAGCTTCTATACTGGAGATATGTTAAAGTTAACAGCAATATATGGATAATGCTCAGAGAACAAAAGTATTCTATACCTTGAAAAACAGCATCATAAAGAAGTCCAAGATACTTAAGAGAGATCTGAAGAGATTGTAATTAAATATAAATGTATAACACAGTGCCTTCAATAACAGTATAACAGGGGCTGGGCTTGTGGTTCAGTGGTAGAGTGCTTGCCTAGCACATGTGAGACACTGAGTCTGATCCTCAGCACCACACAAAAATAAAATAAGTTAAATAATAAAGGTATTGTGTCCATCTACAACTAAAAATATTTTTAAAAATAACAGTATAGCAAATATTCTTAAATGAAAACAAAGGATATTTTCAAAAAATAGAAATTCACTTAGTGCTGAGATACTTTTATCATTTATGTATAATAAAACTTGTCTTAAAGAGTTTCCAATTTAGGGAGTATATTTTAAGAGAATAATATATGTTAGCCTTTTAAATAATGGATTGTATATATTTAATTTTGACATTATTTCTGTATATAAAATATTTTCATTCAGTATTGCAAATTTCTTACTTTGTGCTTACTTTGGATGACATTTCTCCTTTGATAATAAATAACCTCTGTGTTAACATTGTCAGATTTACTTAATCCCTAGAAAATTTTTAATACTCCACAACTGTCTGATCTTCTCCAACTTTCATGAATGCATGACCTTTAATACCTTATTTCTAAGAATCAGCATGAGAACGGATCCCCAAACTATAAGTAGGAACAGCAGTTTTTATGTTAAATTCTAGTCTTTTAAAAGAAACATTTTGTATCCTGTTTAGATCCTGTTTAGAAAAGTCTGCAATCAGTCTACAAGTAATTATAAAGGGAAATGAAAACCTCAGGCAGCCAAGGCCCCCAAACAACTGACATTATGCATTTTGCTAAATTCACACCCTTTGTGACCTTTTATAGCTTCATTGCCATCTGGTTATGTGCTGACTGAGGCTGTTGGATGTACAGAAGATTCTCCTGTGACACCTTCAGTGTGTGATGACACACCTTCTTGCTCCTCATTTTCTCCAGCCTATAAGGAGTTTCATGCTCCATAAAACAAATAGCTGAAGAGAATTGTATAGTCCCTTGTACATAATTTGCTGTACTGCCCCATATACAGTTTTGAGTCTTTTTTTTTTCTGTTCAATTATCACTGTTTACTCCAAAAAAGGGACTGGACTAAACTTGTTAGAATTCCTCACGAAACTTTCTTTTACAGATGACCCTAAGAAGGCTATAGCCACAATAAAACATGGTAAATCTAACCATGTGGTATTCTTCTATCTTGATGAACTGGTGTTATTGTTAAGCCATCAAGTATGGAAAAAGACATTTACTTTTCTAGGGGTAAACTTCTAAAATCTTGCAGGCTGTTTATAATGTTCTCTAACAGTGCTGAAAAAAAAATTATTTCAGATTGTGGCCGAATAAGAGGCAATATTAAAAAAAAATACTTATTAAAAGAGTTGTTATAATCTTCTTCCTAATTTTTTTTATTTTAGAGAAAATTCAGATGCAAAAAGTTTGTGCTAAATGGTTGGAAAAAAACTTCCCATACTTATGGTTGTATTTCCCTTTTCATTGTGTCTTAGTCATCAGCAAAGTAGGTATAGGTGAAAGGCTCCTTAATAATTATCTCGGATATTTAATTTTTATTAGTTCTAATTCTCTAATTATAGAAACTCATCTCAGTGAACATTTTCTTTGAAATATGTATGTAGGTGGATTTAAATCAGCATTTTCTCAGTTTGTCCCAAGAAGTCATGTTCATTATTGATGCTACTAAAAAGGATAAACAAAACAAAACTAGAAAGGAGGATGAAAGTCATATAAATTTTCTCTTAGAGATTCATAATTCATAAAAGTATATGCAATGGTCTGTAACACTATTAGTTGTCATGATCTGCACAGCTGTTTATTCAGGTTGCCTAACTAGGAGGTGAAGGGCTTGAGAAAAGACAAACAAATACACAAATAGAGAAAAAGCCGGGACACAGTACTTCAGTCAACCTCTGATGGGGGAAGACTAACCATGAGCAAGCGTGACATATTTACTATATATGTATGTTTAAACATCAAAAGGATTTATTGTTAGAAAGTTTTTTCAAAGCAAGCAGAATCAAGGTCATGAGTATGAGCAGCCTGATTATGAGTATCAGCTTGTGCCCATAACTTTCTACCTCCCCAAGCAGTGGGCATCTAAACCTCAAGGATAAAAACTGAAGAGCTTCATGGTTGGCACAGAACCTCCAATTGAACAGGGCATCACCATAGCAACTGGGCTATCTCAATGAATGGCGTCACACTGAGAGTTCTCCAGAGGGGCATCATCGCCTCTGTCACAGGACAGTTCAGGACCCATAATTAAGTCGCTGCTCCCAACAATGAGTATATCTTTTTAAAGAAGTTTAACATCAATGTAGCATTTCCAAAACTCATGTGGGAGAGGAATTTAACTGGATGTTCCTCTTTTATTAAAGAAGTTTACTTTTATTTAAAAAACCATTGATGCAACACAAAAGTAATACAATGTTTTAAAAAATAGCAAGATAAATATTACTTCATACAAAAGGTCTCAGTCAAAAATCTTTTAAAACAGATTTTTCATTAGTATATTGAAGGAAATACACTTCAGGATTAAGATAATCATATTATTTTTAAATCAACAGAAAATTCTACATACTTCTGAGGTACCATATGAAGATTAAATGTATGTATATATTGTGTGATGTTCAAATAAAGGTAAACAGATCTATTTCATCAAATATTTATCATTTATTTATGGTGAAAATATTTAAATTTTTTCTTCTAAATTTTTGAAAATATGCAGTACATTACTGCTATCTATGCACAACTTAATGTATACTAGCAGACTGGAACTTATTTTTCCTATTTAGCTGTAAGTTAGTACCCATTGACCAACCTTTCTCTACCTTGATACAGTGATAATTGAACAGAAAAAAATGACTCAAAATTCTGTATATGGGGCAGTACAGTGAATTACCATGCACTAGGGAAGTTTCTTTTCTAGTAGACCATACTTTCATGACAATCACCTTAAGAAGGACGTTTTAACTCTACTATAAATATTTCTCTGGAAACATACACCCTGCACTCTAAATCAGGTCAATTTATGGTGTTCTGTACATACAACTTTCATGTCTATCTTAAGATCTCACTTGCTTAGAAAATTTTTCTAAATTCTGTGCAGATCCTGCTCAAATTTCAAGGAGCACCTCAATTTCTTTCTTCTCAATTGTTCTGGCTTCCATGATAATTCTAGATGTTAATTTGTTTCCTTAGCTCACAGAACTTTGACACATGTAGCATGAATTACTATTTAAAAAGATTCATCTTAGTATTGTATTTTAAATACAATCATTATTTAAATAATTTAACAGAGGTTATTTCCCCTGAATGAATACCCAACCTTTTGTCTTCCACCCAGTTTCTCATGGGCAAAGATAGACATACTAGTAGCTAACAAGTAAGGATCCTCGCCCACATCCCACGCAAGAGGTGGAAATTAGCTGGCTGTGGAATAAAGGTTAAGAAAAATAGAGCAACGAAAAACTACAGAACACAGGAAATAGTTTCAAAAGAGGGGGGCAGGACAGGCAGACTGATCAGATGGATCAAGCTTCTATGCTCTGGCAAAATGGAGCCCACTATTGCTTTATTTATATTGGGGGACATCAAAGGCAGGAATAAGATTTCAAGGACAGAGTCTTGCTTCATGTTGTCTTGCAGTCATCAGGTTGACTGACATCTTGGCAGGTCACACACCTGTGATGGCACAGGTGCTGGCTGTGTGGGATCTCTGGCAGAGTTTGAAGGGAAAGTCATCTGCATCAGGTGATCAATACCTATGGGGGTGCCACAGGAGGTTCCCAATGCCAGACTTATCCCCTCATTAGGCTACTATGTGCAACACAGTCCACACACAGGCCACAGATGGCTCATGACAAGAATGAAGTGCGTTATGCCATTTTCTTATGAAAACCCATAAAATAATACAGAAAATACATTTTTACAATAAAATATAACTTACTTAAAGATCAATATAATAATATGTGCATTGTGGTGCATGCCTAGAATACCAGCAGCTCGGGAGGCTGAGGCAGGAGGATCATAAATTTAAAGGCAGCCTCAGCAACTTAGCAAGGGCCTGTATCAAAGTAAAATATAAAAAGGGGTTGGGGATGTCACTCCGTGGTTAAGCCCTTCCAGGTTGACTCCCCAGTACCTTCCCCCCAAAAAATCAATGTTAGTATTACATGCTATAAGTAATTTAAGACTATGATTTTAAAGCTTTGGGTCCTCAAAAATCTGTGGAAGTTGCTTTGATTTTTAAATTTTATTTTGTGGTGAAATTTCTCTCAAACTTAATTTTGATCAATAATAGAATATATGTAACTATTACAGGTAGAGACAACAAAATAAGTAGGAGCATTGATAATTGCCAGTCTCTGTTCCCATAGTTTTAGATATTTTATAAAAATGGTTAGGCATGGTGGTGCATGTCTGTAATCCCATAGGCTCAGTAGGCTGAGGCAGGAGAATCCTGAGTTCAAAGCCAGTATCAGCAAAAGCAAGGCGCTAAGCAACTGAGTGAGACCCTGTCTCTGAATAAAATACAAAATGGGGCTGGAGATGTGGCTCAATGGTAGAGTGCCCCTGAGTTCAATTCTCAGTACCCCTCCCCCAAATATCTATATACATTTTCTAAAAATGTTTTTATTAGTACATTACGGTTATACGTAATTGTGGGGTTCATTTTGACATAATTATACATGCCTGGAATATACTTTGCTCCATTTCAGTCCTCAGGACTTCCTCTTTTCCTTCTCTTCTCCCTTACCCTGTTCCCTTTCCTCTACTTTATTAGTCTTCCGTTTCCTTTTTTTTTAAATTGGTACTTTACAGATATAAATGAAAGTGGAGTTCACTCTGGTATGTTCGTATATGTACATAGCATAATTTGGTCAAATTTATTCCACTTTTTCTCTCTTTTTACTCTTTCCCTCATCCCCCCCTTGATATACTTCCTTTTCTCTACTGATCTCCTTTCATTTTAATGGGGTCCCCCTACTGCCTTTTTTTTATCTTTCTTATTTTGATCTAGCTTTAGCATATGAGAGAAAACGTTCAACGTTTGACTTTTTGAGTCTGGCTTGTTTTACTTAGCATGTTGTTTTCCAGTTTCACCTATTTACCAGCAAATATGAAAACTTCATTCTTCTTTATGGTTGATTAATACTCCAGTATGTATATATAACACCTTTTCTTTATCCATTCATCTGTTGACAGTCACCTGGTCTGGTTTCATAACTTGGCTATTGTGAATTGCACTGCTATTAATATTGACGTGCCTGTATCACCATAGTATGTGCTTTTAGCTCTTTGGATAAATTTCAAGAAGAGGTATAGCTGGGTTATATGGTGGTTCCATTACTAGTCTTTTAAGGAGTCTTCCTACTGCTTTTCAAAGTGGTTGTACTAATTTGCAGTCTCACAGTGTATGAGTATACCACTTTTCCCCACATCCTCACCAGAATTTCTTATTATATGTATTCTAAATGATTGTAATTCTA